CCCTCTTGGTAGAATGAATCTAAATCTACCTTTAATAGCGATTGGCCACAGCAGTAAAAATGCATTGTTCAAGGTAGGCAGTAGGTAGAGTAGAACAAATACAAATTTACGTGATTATGCCTCAACACAATCATTTAAATTTGTATGTCCTAACACGGTAATTTAGATCATATCGTAAGCGGATTTTTCTGGTAAATATTCTCAATATCAGAGATACATTTCGATGGCTGCATCGTAGATAGTTACACGTAGTCTGTTCTCCTTCCAACTTGTGACCACAGGGCCGTAGGAACCAAAATTATAGGTTAAAAACGGTGTCTTCTGCTTAGTGCCCAACAATTGTGTGAACGCATGTTAAGAAGTCGTAAGGCTCTTTTGAGTTATTCAAAGTTATTGCTACGTATTTTAATTGAACGAAATTAAGTGTAGCGTTAACATGCAAAAGGTCACAAGTCACAACTATGCATATTGTTGCAGTGACCTTATCCGAAGGTTATTGGCGATTGCCCGCGGGCTTCGTGATGATGTAGTGTTTTGTATAACTACTTAGGAGTTATTGGACTGCCTAGGGTTCAGCCCAATACTGCGAGGCGCCGAGTCTGTATCAGTGGCGCAAGGAGGCTTAGGAGTTGGGTCCGCAAGTTGCTAACGCCTAAGTGCCACCACTGCGATAGCCGGACCGTGGACACGGCTCTCCACCCGCTGGCAGAATTCCCGGCGTGGGTGGAGCAGTGGCGGCCATCGGAGTGGAAATTCTCTCGCTCGGTAACATGATTGCCGTCATGGTACGAACCGTGGAAAGTTGCTGTTTTAGTTAATTATGGTGTTGTGTCTCTACAACTGATCCCAGATTCTCCAACCAGAGGAGGTGGTAATTTATAGTGGACCGTATGTAGACCGACCCAATGTTTGATTTTTTGTTGTACAATGAATGATTATTACAAACCAAGTAGTTCAACTTTCGTCAGCTAGATCTTGTCGAAGTAATTTTTTTTCTGTATTTGCAAGTCGCGACACATATCCTATTCCTATGTTTTTCTCTTGTATAAGTTACTGAGCTAATCAAAATGTAAATAAAAAAACCAAATAAAATCTAGATTTATTTAAATAGGTAATATAACTTATAAGCCTCAGTAATGATACTTGGTGGATCAAACTGGCGGAGCCTCGTGTAGATCTGAATACTTACTCAACTTTATACTTACAACGGCATAGAATGCTAGGAAGAGACATAAAATGGTGTACCCATAAATAAATCAAAACGTAGATTTAATTGTTTTATTGATTTATATAAATTTGCCTCAGATCAAGCATTTTTACATTCCATTAATTTTGTTTGTCAACCTCACCGGGTGTAAACATAATGTTAATACTATAACGCGTGTGTGGCGACGTCATAATGAACGTCTAATTTGTTGATATACATACCGTAGAATGGTGTGAATTGGTAATGAAACTAATTATTATATTAAGCTGTAAATCAAAATTCAGTACAGAATATGCTGTGTTTGTAGATATTTCATAAGCGTATTTAAACCTTAGATACAATTCTGCCCTTGTAGGTTCTTTTTTTAAATAGGTAGTTTTACCAAATAATCCTTAAAGTGAGACTAATTGAAATGCTACATTTTTATTTGTTATTTGTCGAGATATATTAAAAATCAAACTATGCTTACAGATTCGTAATCAGAATAAATAATTTGTAAACTTACCAAAAAAATACAAATGAAATATCTCTTGAATATCCGAAAGTTCCACATCCCATTCTACGGTACATAAAACTAATAGAGCGAACCCCCCGTCAAGGCACGCCAATGGGCGGGGTGAGAGACGTAACGTGCCCGTGTCACGCTCAATAACCAATAATTATTCTATCTGTCACAGCTTTAGGTTTTGGCTAAACATATTAATCTCTAAAACGCATACATTTTGTTACCTACTAAGATTGGTTACGGTTGTATAAAATAAATACAATACATACAAGAGCCAGAACTCAACCCTGGTATCACTGAAGCCTAATTAAAAGGACAAGGCGCGAACTAGTCATAAATATGTTAATATAAATAAAATGAAGGCGCCCAGGGTACTTACCTAAGCGGCACATTATATATTACGTCTAATAACCACCTTTTCAGTACAAGGAATAGTTCAGTGCTGACATAACACTTGACCACCGATATAAATAATATATATATATAAAGCCACAACATACATGACTTGGTCTATTTTGGTATCAAAATAATAATTACAGCAGGATCTTGTCTACTTCAAATGAGCAATGCTCGGGACGCATTTAAGAAAACTGCAATGATTTTAAATTTCATCATTTATGGTATATAAAGTAAGTTACGTTTCACGGAAATATCAGTCTATACACTCAAATAAGTGTTAATGTCACTCAGACAAACCATTAATGTTTCAACAATAAAACATCGACTACAATTTTCGTAATACAACGTTTAAAATAAATTATATCGTCTGAACCATTAAATATTACAGCCTTAAGTACAGCCTGAATTATCCTACATCATCAATTTCATGTTTTTTATTGTTTTCCTATATTTAAATCACGTTAAATATGAATGATTTGACAATAGCTAGTTATGACGTCACACCTTAGTATTTCATACAAAAATGTGCCGCGTCTATCGCTTTGACGTTTAATTTGACAATTTAACGTGACAGTTATCTACGCCAATCAGGTATTCCCCTAGAATAGTTTCTAACATTTAAAAGCGTCCCCATTTAGGTGAACTCCACCAGTTTCCATGTGGACGTGTGGTCAAGTGTCATGCGAGCCAATACGGTGACCCCCGGCCTTAATTTACGAAAGCAATTATAATCTAGCTTGCTTCAGGCTTGCCCGGTAAATACGTGACACAGTTAATTCGTCTATATGTAAGCTATTATAACAAGCTTAAACAAACCTAGGATCTATTTTACTTGTCGATCACAAACTGGTCAAGACGACAATCTCTACGCCCTTGATTGTCGACTATCGGTGACACAGGCGCAACTAGCGCCGAGTGCGTAAACAACGATATCCTAATGGTGTGATGGAGTTGCGGACACACACCGCCCAATAGCCAACTATTAGTCAATTGCAACACAAATGTCTACACTTAGATTCCTGTGTACCTCTACATCTAAAATATCGTGTATATTATGAATTTATTAAGAAATTCAGGAAGGTATTTAAATGGATGATATTTAATTACACAATGGAAGCTTCATCGAGAGTGGTGTTAGTGATGTGCCGGTATCCACGAATACCTGAGGGTGAAAAAAGATCCATAGCACTTACTTTTTGACGGATCTTAAACGGATTACACGGATAAAATTCAAATTTAACATAAAAATTTAATTCTATTGGTACTTTTCGTCAATATTTCTTAAAAGATCAAAGCACAATCATAAGCAAAAATTAAAATTACAGTGGAAGTCGAAACTGGTCATATTTTTAAGTCCGGAATGGCAACTGTCATTTCGAGGTCACTCGTATAGGCATTATTAGAAAGAACTCACAATCCGTGTTCAGGGATCTAGACTAACAATCCGTATCTTTATCAGAGAATATACATGTACAGGATACCCGAAGGATTCAACCAAATAGATTTATTAAGACAAAATCCTAAATTAAAACTGTGTGTGGTGACAGATTAAGAATATAGTGTCACCACCCCTATTCATCACGTGGGTGTCGTAAGAGCCGACTAAGGGAGCAAATTACGCAGGGCAACAGCACTGCAAAGAGAAGGAAAACTTGACACATACCCTATACCAACCCGTCTGGCCAGCGTGGTATAGTAGGCCAAAACCTCCTTTCTCAGGAGAGGCCTATGTCCAGCAGTGGACTATTAAAGGCTGTTGATGTGTGTGATGTGAAATTAAAAAACTGAAGGATCTATTATTGGATGATAGTTACTGAAACTATTGAGTTATGGCTACATATTATGATAAGAACAAAAATGTTTATACCTTAAGAAGATATCTTAATTATGTTGTAATAATGTTGATAGTTGTTTTATATTATTTTTGCCTTGTGTGATGTATGTCCAGTATAGCATAGGTTTTTTTTTATAAATTACCGAGCACGTCTCGCCGTTAAACATTTACGTTAGGCGAGTATAAAGTTTAAATCTTAGATCTAAGTTACTTTTGTGAATAAAAAACAATCGGCACATCACTAGCGATTACTATAAAAATGCATGTACAAATGGACTCTCAAAATTAACACATCAACGTACAAAATGATCTTTTTAAATAACAGGCAACATTGAGTAATACTGCACAATGACTTACTAAGAACGTTACTAAAGAGAGCATCACTATGTAGTGCGGTCATCAGGACTGTGTCTATGGTATGTATCCTATGGGTCAAGTTAAATCCCCCAAGCTTGACGGGTAGTAATCCTTCACCGCTGATGACATCCAGGTTTTGAAGACACAGGGCGAACACTATCAATCGGTTAAGTGGTAAATGTAGCACCATGTAGGAATCGCACCCAACAACATCCTCCCTTGGGGAGGATATGAGCACAGAAGAGTGGTGCAGAGTAAGAGAAGTGAGAGTTTCCACAGAAGCAGAGAGCCGTAAAGATGTGTAGACACAAATGAGATCGGTTACCAAAGTCAATCCATGTATTCAGCACAATCTCCTCTGTCATCTCAACAACACTTCTGGTTTCCACTAGCCGACAAGCTGGATCGGTTCTTGGATGACTTGACTTGATGAAAAAAGAAGCAATTTGGAGCATTCATTATGTGTAGTATTAGATGGTAGTTATGTCAAAGTTTTATCACAGTCGCAGAATACAGAGATATACACATGTCTAAATATATTAAGTTCTGTTTCCACAACAGTAACTATACAACTATGTAATTGATATTTTCTTAATAATACTATCGTTGTTATGTATGTGTGTGTTGTGATTGTTAGCCGCAGGCGAGGAGATAGTCGTCGCGTGTAAGTAGGCTAAGGGCAGTGGCTAGGCGGAACACTATTTGCGTATCTTGGCCGCGTTGTCGGCGTTCTCCTTCATAATCTTGGACTTCAGGTGGTCCTTATATTTGAGGATACCACCCTCCCATTTCGTGACGGTGCCGTTTTCGCATATCCAGATTTCTTCAGCAACCTGTTAACAAATAGAGAACAAGGATAAATATATTTATATTAATGACATGGAATGATCATTTCTCGCTAACATCAACAAATCCAATATGAACTCATGTTTGTTATCCTTTAACCCAGATAAGCCTACTGTCCCACATGTCTGCAATGCACTTTTAGATATAATTTTTGAATGAAATATTTATAAAATGGATAATGTATTATAACTGCACACTTTTAATTCAATAGCACATTAGCTTGTCACTACAAATCCATTAAAAATATTCTGAAGTGCGTTCTGCGCAAGTTGTTTTTTTTTATTTATTTTTACATATAGGACAGTTGGCTTATCTGGGTTAATACTTTACATTTTGCATACATGTTGTCAGGTTCAAACAAGAGGTCATGGGAACCTTCTGCTTAGAAAGAGAGTAACGAGGGATACCTAACGTCCATCAAATCTAAGAGGTTACCGTTTAAACGTTTTATGCTATTCAAGTCGAAACAACTTTGTATTGGGGTAACTTCCACAATTAAAACAACCAAATTATAAAACCATAGAGTTATGAAGCTATTTTTGTTTTATTACAAGAAATACACTTCTTCATTAGTGAATGTAATTTTTAAACAGAGCAAAATAACCAATATTTTTTGATGGGTTTTTTTTAGAGTTTGTTTCAAAGTCACGTAGTTAGGACTTAAACCGAAGTGTTGCAACTCTTCAAATACACTTGTATATGAACAATCGTTAAAATGTCGAACTATCGAACTTAATAACCTGTTTTCAATCCCAATGTTTTATAGTATTTAATAACACGTAAATTTCAACTGACATCGAAATCGCATAGGTAATTAAAAGTATATAAGTTAATTTAACTTTAAATAATTTTTTTATAGACAAAATCGATTCGATCAAATCGAAAAAACACAATTTTTTAATCTGGCCAGGTTAGTTTAGGATGGCACTAAAAGGCCCGAAAAAATATCTCTCTTATAAAATTCTGACACTTAAACTAGCATACATTAGTCTTAGCAGGGATTCTTTTTTAAGAAAAAACATCGGTTGTCTGTAAAGTCGGTTTACTGACGATAGTTGAACGTGACGACGACAAACTAATAAAAAAAAAAAAAAAAAAAAAAAAAAAATTATTGTATAGCAGCTGTCCACGCGGACGCATCGCTCACTCAAGTAGGAGAGAGAGAGATGTCGAACGCTACCGAACGCGGAGGCCGATTGTGCCTCTTTGTCGCTCGTTCCGCGCTCTCGCTTGCACTTCAAGCCTTAAATGGAACGCCTCAGAGCGAGGTAACGCCGCATGAGTCATGTTTTTTTCGTGCGTGCAGCCGGCTCCATCGAATTATAAGACGTTGTCACGTCAAAAAGAAAATAATAGTAACACATACCTGATTAATAAGCCTGAAGTCGTGACTAACAAGCACCATGCCACCATCAAACTCGTTGATGGCATCGCCAAGCGCGTCAATAGTTTCCATGTCTAAATGATTGGTCGGTTCGTCGAGGAGTAGCAGGTGTGGTGTCTGCCATGCCAGCCACGCGAACACCACCCGGCAACGCTGTCCGTCCGACAGTTGGCGCATCGGACACACCTGGACAATTACAAACAGGTTATTTGCTATAACTTGATATTCAACATAATATTCAGTACTAAACAGATCTCTGAACAGGTCAATAACATTTTTAACCGGCATTGGGCAGAATACGGAGTGTCGCCATCCCTATTCATCCCGTGCGTGTCGTAAGAGCCGACTAAGGGACAACAGCACTGCAAAGAGAAGGAAAACTTGAAACAAACTCTATACCAACCCGGTAAGGCCAGCGTGGTATAGTAGGCCAAAACCTTTCTAAGGAGATGTTGACGTGATTGGGCAGTAGTACTTTTGTATTATCAGTATTATCTCTTGGGTTAGGTTAGAATAGTTAAAATATATGTGAATCTAGACTATCATAAATGTGACATAAATTGACAAAAAAAATAGTGTATTTTTATAAATCACCGAGTAGTAATCGAATTGTCGTTCATTATCGATTTAATACTAATATTGTTTTAGTATCTTCTAATCAACATTAGATATTAATTATTTGACAATAGCCAAGTATGACGTCATACAAAAATGAACCGGGTTAAAGATACTGGTTTGACTGACAGTTATCTGCCCCATTATAGAAGTAGTTTTTTTTTTTTTTTAAAGACACCGCCCGCATTAGGAATATATATTCCTGTGTCGCGAGGGACTTTACAAACATACATGAAACGGACACAAAGAACATCCAGACTCAGAACAACAATTTGTGGATCACACAAAGTATCGTCCCATGTGGGGTTTGAACCCACAACACTCGGCGAAGTAGGAAGCGGCGTGGCGATAAGTTTAAGATAGTTTTTTGACCTTACCAATGACATATTACCCACTGATGCCTACTGTTGGTATACGAGCCACGTTATAAGTATCTCCAGTCATGCAGAAGTTTGTGCTGTGCCAGCGACTTATTCATATGATTGAACCATTCAACAAATAAGTTCCCGTTCACATTCGACATCATTAAGTGATGTCAACGTGACGTATCGTTTGTGTCTATCAATCTAGTCAGAAATATTTATTTCTGAACGTGCTGATTTATCAAATAACGCAGGAGTACAGTAGGAGTTAGGATATTCTGCTCTGTATATGAGACTAGCTGACCCGCGCAACTTCGTCTGCGTCTCTCAATAGTAATAAATTTTCTCCGTTTTTGAAACATTCTTCATTGGTGCTCCGCTCCTATTGGTCTTAGCGTGATGATATATAGCCTATAGCCTTCCTCGATAAATGGGCTATCTAACACTGAAAGAATTTTTCAAATCGGACCAGTAGCTCCTGAGATTAGCGCGTTCAAACAAACAAACAAACTCTGCAGCTTTATAATATTAGTAAAGATGTGTAATGAGAGAGACATTTTCTGCCAGTCTGATTGTAAAATATATACTTTGAATTTAATTTGAGCCCAATTCCTGGGGAACATATAGATTATACAACACCATGCTACGTATAGAACAGTGGTGATAAGACGGGTTACAGAAACGGCCACACACCTGTTGCCTTCCCGTGAGGCCATACCGGCCGATAATCTTCCTCATCTCTTCGCGCTCGCGCACCTCGGGGAACTGTTTCATCATGTAGTCGAGCGGCGACAGGTCGAGGTCCAGCAGCTCGTGTAAGTGTTGGTGGTAACGCCCAATGCGCAAGTGAGAGTTCTTGCGGATCATACCTATCGATGGTACCAACTGAAATCAATAGTTTTTGTTATTTACATCACGTTAATATTTACTGTAATGGCATTTACTGAATCAATCACACGGAGTGTCACCACCCCTATTCATCCCGTGAGTGTCACACACCATAAAATCGGAAAATATTATTATTCTAGCTTGTTATAAACAGTATACCAACCCGTCTGGCCAGCATTAAATTCATAATAGTTTATAACAAGCTAGAATAATTATATTTTCCGATTTTATGATAGTACTACTATTGTTATTGATATATTATGTTTACCCGACTGCGCCAGAAGGAGGGTTATAGTTTTCAAGACGATGTATCATATTTCTTTGGCACGCTCTGTAGCGTAAAAGGCTTAATGGATTTGTGTCCGGTGTCCGTTGTTTCGTCTTAATTGTGATTGTATTTATACAATGCCCACTAATTCCAAGATTGACAGGTAGAACGTGTGAAGAGACAAATATATACTCACATCCCCATACAATAACTTGAGCAGAGTGGACTTGCCAGCTCCATTAGGCCCGACCAGCGCCAGCCGAGTGTCTAAATCAATACCAAACTCCAAATTCTTGTAGATCCAGGGACTCGTGTCCGTATATCTGAATGAGACATTCTGTAACAAATAATAAATACATACAACACTTTTTATTACACCATTAATAAAGCCTTTATCTAATTGAAATCTTGAAAAATAAACCTGAGGCCCGGGTGCAAGTTTATTTCACATCAACTTGACTTCGACAGTTAGAGCATTCAGTGTTGCGATTGGTGCAGATTTGAATGCGAGCCAATGGCAGAGCCAAACGCGGTCACCGTAACGGTCGCGTGTGAAGTAAACTCACAGTTGGGCCTCTGATGATCTCATTTTTATTATGTATGGTGGAGTAGCTGGGCTTTTACAATGTAATGTATTTTTTTTTGTTAAAGGTTTCCTAGCAACCGAAATTACTAGTATTCCTGTTAACCCCTCTCGCTAAGCCAAATTGCTTGTGTTAGGAGTGGGTTCACGTCGGTAGGGTACCGGTCAGGATAAATGAAACCTAACAAGAATCTAGGATGGCTAAAGTACAGTGTTAGTCAGTCAGTCTCTACCAGTTTGAATTAAAAAAAAAAACGATATTTATTCTAATAAATCCTGTCTTACATAAATCTTAATACTCCACTAAAAGTATTTTCCTCTTACGGGTGTACCTTAACATTTTGATTACTTAGATTTGTCATGTGAGTTTTCTAACTAAAAGAAAATCCTTTCACAGCACATTTTCACCAAATTTTGATTGCACGGATGGCGTAGTGGTTTAAGCGGTCGCCACGCCGCTCACTACCACGTTGAGGGTTCGATCCCCACATGGGACGACACTTTGTGTAATCCATAAATTGTTGTTCTGAGTCTGGGTGTTCTTTTTTGTAATGGTCCCTCGAGAGACAGGACATTTTCATAGTGCGGGAGTTGTCTTTTAACAAAAAAATAAAATAAAAAAGTTGTTGCTAATAATTTAACTAAATAAATTTGATATTGGCTGGCATCTACCACTTGGGTTGCTATGGCTGCCAACATTTATTTCTACTGGATTGAAGTTATACCACCATTCACCAAAGTCGTTGCTCCAATAAGCGCGGTGTATTAATTGTGAATTAGTTTTCAAGGAATACTGTTTACACTTCCAATTAACTGGCTATAAAACTATTTTTTTTTGTTAATAACGCATAAAATGCTTCACACTATCATTGACTGAGAACTGCTCAAGTGTGGTGATCTGTGTAAATGTTACCACTAATGTGCGTTAATCAGTTCGAATGCAGAATTATTTATTAATCTGCAGGTTATATATGGTCTATTAAAGTAGAAAAAATATTTTGAGAAAACGACACAAAAGCCTGGCATAGGCCTAAACCTCATTTCTAAGGATAGGCCTACGTCCAGCAATGTTAAAGGCCATTGATGATGATGAATATTCTTTCACGCTTCACTATTTTACTCCTAACAGATCATTTGTGCATGTCACCAACTTGTGTTTGACCAAAGTGCTGGTTTAATACACAAACCTCAGAAATTATTTCCAACCATTTCGTCTTTATAACACCATCACCATCACCATCATGGACTAAGGGACCAAACTACGCAGGACAACAGCACTGCAAAGAGAAGGAAAAACTTGACACAAACCCTATACCAACCCGTCTGGCCAGCGTGGTATAGTAGGCCAAAACCTCCTTTCGAAGGAGAGGCCTATGTCCAGCAGTGGACTATTAAAGGCTGTTGATGTGTGATGTGATGATGTGAACACCATCACCAATGGCAATCCCTGAATATTTAATTGCCGTTATAATTAAAGCGAATTTTGCAGGACCAGCAAGCAGCAATGAACCAATGTACTCTTGTTTAATCTTAAAATCTCTTTTTTAATCTTTAAATCTTTTCTGTTTAATCTTGGCGCAGAATCTTCTAATTAAGAGACGTAACTTGTCACGGCATCACAGTCTTCAAGATGAACTGACACCAACGCAGTAAATTTATTTTTCTTGGTATCCTGAGTCATTAAATGTCTGTATAAGTCTTTATCATCATCATCATCATCAACAGCCTTTAATAGTCTACTGCTGGACATAGGCCTCTCCTTAGAAAGGAGGTTTTGGCCTACTATACCACGCTGGCCAGACGGGTTGGTATAGGGTTTGTGTCAAGTTTTCCTTCTCTCTGCAGTGTTGTTGTTCTGCGTAGTTTTTTCCCTTAGTTGACTCTTACAACACCCACGGGATGAATAGGGGTGGTGACAATCTGTATTCTTAATCCGTCACCACACGGAAGATAAGATAGTCTTTAACTGTACTTTAATTCTTATCATGCACATATTATGTAGGATCTTTCATCAATACGAGCTTGGCTTTTGCTTTTATCTGTTTAATGGTCTCACACTTTTGTGTGAACGCCCAGTCGTCGTATTTTTGGTTTCAGAAGTCTTTATTCCCATAAGAGTTTGTACATTCACTTACATGAGAACTTATTTTTTTTATGGTATAAGTGGGCAAACGAGCAGACGGGTCACCTGATGGTAAGCAACTACCGCCGCCCATGGACACCTGCTACTCAAAAGTCACAAGTGCCCTTGGAGTCCCTCCCGCTGGAGTCAGCGTGAGGGGGGATTTGGGCTCCGGTAACCTCACTCACTCAGTGAAAGGCAACGAAACAATTGCTTTTATTAACACCGGTTTTCTGTGAGGCCGTGGTAACACTCCGGTCGAGCCGACCCATTCGTGCTGATGTATGGCTCTCCCACGTATACACTAATATCTCTAAAATATTCCGACAAACACACTGGTAACAAATAAATATTAAATGACAATAGAGGTTTAAATATAATAAAATGTCGAGTAATAAAACTTTTGCTTTAATTACCTTTTCCCATACTACTTAAAGTGGTTTAAATTGTATTTACAAACAACTATAAGTATGTCTTATATTAAAATATTTATTTTAGTCTTCCTCACGGGTTTTCAGCGAGCAACGGGACTTAACCTATTAACTTGCAACGGTTTTGACTTGGACCGATGTTCATTATATAGAAAACAAGACTAGTTAGTTAGACGCTATATGTCTGTGTATACGGTACCTGAACCATGATGACAGGGGGTGGCACCTTCCCGCATGATGGGAAATAAAAGTTGAGGATCTTGTCGTCGATAACTTTCTCTGTGAGGCCTTGCGCTACCATTTTAGCCAGCGTCTTCTCCTTGGACTGGGCTTGACGAGCCAACTTTGCGGAACCGTGACCGAAGCGAGCTATGTAGTTCTGTAATTAAAGATAAATGTGATAAAACATATATAAATATTGAACAACCCGTTGGTCATGGGTTCGATTCCCACCCATTCGATGAGCACGATCTTTTTTTGTGTCTGTGTGTAATATATCCATAATAATGTGTTTGGAATTTATAAGTATGTTTATCAGCAGTCTGTTTACCATAGTAGTAAGCCCTGTCTAGTTTGGGATAGGCTGGGCGCCTGTCAAATGTGTAAGGTTATGATTATTATATAGGGATAAAGTGTGTCCGTTAAGTGTTAGAGTGGTTATATTATAACAAATATAGTTTGTTAAAACTAAAAAACACGTTGTTTCAATGGCAACCTGTTTTATATAGTTAGCAAGAATTCCTATTCACTTCCTAGCTTGTTAATAATTTTTATTAGTGTTAATGATCAATACCTGATTGTATTTTTTTTTGTTATTAGGCCCTTATACTCGTAGTAGGCAAAATATATGAGTTTGTATGTCTCAGTCCATCCTCGGAGATTTAGGTGTGAGTGTATGCATGAGTTCTGATAGAAATATTATAAACTCAGACAATGCCAACGTCCATACCACGTTGAATACACTGGTTCTCATCCAATCACCGAAAACGTTAAACCCAGACCATGGTTTCTAAGCTCTTAGACCCTAAAGTGATTGGAGTCCACCGTTGGACATAACCCTCTCCTTAGAAAGGAGGTTTTGGCCTACTATACCACGCTGGCCAGACAGGTGGGTAGAGGGTTTGTCTCAAGTTTTCCTTCTCTTTACAGTGCTGTTGTCCCGCAATATTGAAATTGGAGTATGTAGTATTAATAGAAAGGATAGTACCTTCATATGCGCGATTTGATCCTGTTCCCAATTGTACTGTTTCATCTGATTCTCGAGCAGCTCCATACGGGTCCGTACGAAGGCCTCATAGTTGCCCGTGTAGTACTTGAGGCGTCTCTTGCTCATGTGGACGATGTTGTGCACACGCCGTTCAGGAAGTCCTGCGAGTGCGATATCAGCACGAGGATGCGTTTGTAGCTGGAATATTATGCCAATGTTATACACGGTGAGCTCAAGGAGAAAACAATGAGTTTGACAGGTATAAGTCACATCAACAGCCTATAAAAGTCCACTGCTGGACATAGGCCTCTCCTTAGAAAGGAGGGTTTGGACTACTATACCACGTGGGCCAGACGGGTTGGTACAGGGCAGGTATAATTATATTTATGGATACCAGGTATAATATTTTTTTTATAATACAACTCCCGGAGTCGTAAAAGTTTTATTATAATGTGTCGCAGGAGAACAATTACGTATATACATGAAACGGACAAGACTCAGAACAACAATTTGTGAAGCACACAGTGTTGTCCCATATGGGGATCGAACACATAACACTCAGCGCAGGTGAAGTGGTGAGGTGACCGCTTAAACCACTATGCCATTCCTGTAGTCAGAGTAATTACAAGTAGGTACTAGGGTAAGAAAAGTGTTAACTATCGTCGTCCATTTACTTGGAACGAAGTTCCTTATCGCGTCCTGAGTGGATGGAAACGAGACAGCAAAACGTGTAACAAGACTTTTTGCCGACACTATAGCAAACGTCTACCAAAAAGCGATAGAAACTTCCTTCCGAACGAAGGTTCATAGACCCCTCACGCCTTTTTTGTATTTACTTTAATTTATATTAATATTTTATAAGTTTTGCCAATTTTATTTCAAGTCACTGAGTTTGTCGCATTTTTATGGAGAGTTTATAACCCAAACTATTCACTTTTTCATAGTGTTTCGCACTCAAGTTGCTTTTTGACAAAAGTTTTGACGTTTTAAAACAAAAACTGATTTAACTTAGCATTCAAATATTGTACATACTGTTTGAGTTCCTCTTCGAGCCACACACAGGCGTCCAGGTCAAGATGGTTGGTCGGTTCGTCGAGGAGCAGCAGATGTGGTTTCACGTACAGCGCACGAGCCAACGCTATACGCATGCGCCAACCTGACACAAAAATATTGATATAGTATTTAAGTTGTTATGAAGAATCATAGCAAGACATGTGGTCAGCATGCTCTTGGCGCAACTTAGCCTAATCTTTGTAGCTCAAAGTGAACAGATTTCAATACGTGGGAGACTCAGCCACAGCCTCATGGAAAACAATTCTTTTGTTGGCCGGACGGTGTAGTGGTTTGTGTAACGAACTGCTACGCCATAGGTTACGGGTTCAATTCCCGCTCTAGTCAAACATTTGTGTGCATGAACATTTGATGTTTGATTTGGTCTAGGTGCTTCTATGTATCATATGTATTTACAAAAAAAAAGTATATATGTATGCATTTGTATCAGTTGTCTAGTAGCCATAGTACAAGCTCTGCTTAGTTTCGAACTAGATGGCGTGGTGTAAATGTGGTACAATTGATGTCTGTCGTTGCCAAATAAAAATTGTAAATGACACCAGTGGTGTGGTTCAGTGGTGTCATTTACAATACACGAAAAAATAAACAAAAAAATAAGAGCTAAATCCTCTAAATAACCTTGAGAAGAATGTAATTTAGAGGATTTCTCATGATTGTTGACAAATTTATACATCAGTACCTTTAATTTAAATAATTTACTTAAATAAAATGGCCTGTGGAGGCTTTGTAGAGGAGAATGTATTTCAGTACCTTTAATTTAAATAATTTACTTAAATAAAATGGGTCGTAGAGGCTTTGTAGAGGAGAACGTACCTTTAATTTAAATAATTTACTTAAATAAAATGGCCCGTGGAGGCTTTGTAGAAGAGAATGTATTAACTTAAGGTGTATTACCTCCTGAAAAGTCCTTTGTGGCCTTCTGTTGCATATCACGCGTAAAGCCGAGACCGTGGAGGATATTGGCGGCGCGTGCCTCTGCCGTGTCGGCGCTCAAGTCGTCCAGCCGATCGTAGACGTCCATCAGCTGCTCTTGAGCCTCTGCGAGAACACAATGTAAACGTTACTTTGAATTGACTAACTAAGTAATTATAATCACTAACAATATATAGCACATTTTTGTAAATTTTCACCAAGTGAGTGAGGTGCGTCCGTGTGGTGACGGATTAAGAATACTGTCCACATCCCTTACGCCCTTAAGGCCGACTAAAGGAGTAAACTACGCAAGACAACAGCACTGCAAAACGAAGGAAAACTTGACACAAACCCTATACTAACCCGTCTGGCCAGCGTGGCAAAAACCTCCTTTCTAACAAGAGGCCTTTGTCCAGTTGTGGACTAGTAAAGGCTGTTGATGAGTGAGGTTACAGGAACCCCAAAACCCTCTGCCTTAATTCTGTGGGAGAGGCCAAAAAGGGGCAACGCACTTGTGACTCTAATTGCAGGTGTCTATGAACGGCAGTAGATTCTGACCATCAGGGGACCCGTTTCCTCGCTTGCCCTCTACATCATTAAAAATGTAGAACCATGTGCGTAGATATGTGTCCAAATTGTTTAGTTTTGTAGGGTATAAGCTCTCAGGGAACATGGGGTTCCCACCCGGGGGGGGGGGGCGGGGGGTCGTCTACTCGTCTGCAGATGACCCGAGGTATGTCGGGGCAACAGGGACTTCCTTTCTAGGTTATACCTGGTTCCCCGGCTATTAGTACCCGAGACGGCGTGCGGTTTTAGTCGGTTCGTGTCCGACATGCCACCGACAGGTGGTATCCGAGGGGATATCCGCACGGAAAAAAAAAAAAGGGTATGAGCTCTGTATGATATGTATATCTAAACCCCGGTCACCGTGACAATCGAGTAGAAGTGAAATAAACTCGTACTTGGCCCGCCGAAATATTGAATAGATACATGTGTTTATTTGCCCAAATCGATCTAAGTGGCGTGCAACGGGAGAGGCCTATGTCCAGCAGTGGACTGCGATAGGCTGACGATGTGTTTCTAAGCTATATGACCAGAGTACGTACGAATACGTAAATGAATTTATTTCTAGAATGTGCTAATTCTGGGACTATCTGAGGAACTATCATAATATATTCTTCATTATATCTTGATTGGTATTGACTTGGCATAATTTTAGAAGGCTACAGAGGTGGAGGTGACACAAAAACTATCAACAATGAATTGAACAATTAGAATCAATAACACCATTACCTTTTAGGGTTCCGTACCTCAAAAGGCAAAAAAGGAACCCTTATAAGATCACTTTCTTGTCCGTCTGTCCGTGTGTCACCACCGATTTTCTCATGAACGGGTGGAGCTAGCAAGTTGAAATTTATACCAGATACTGAGGTCTATGGTCCCTATTAGGTGTATAAAAATCAAGGTCCTGAGTTAACACGATAAAAAGATATGGGCAAATTTCGATTTTCGCGAAAACTTGTAAGGACCAAAATTAGCCTTAATTTTAACTTTTTATATTTATCAGAATTTTCTCTTTACTTGTGCTGTAAGACCTTGCTTTTAATCAAAATTGACAATTCTAGGTCAACCGGAGGTACCCTATAGGTTTTGGGTCGAAAACCTATATGGTAGTTCCCGTTGACCTAGAATCACGAAATTTGGCAAAAAGAAACGTCTTACAGCACAAATAAAGGAATAATTCCAAAAAATAAAATAAGTTATAAATTTTCACGAAAATCTACGTAAAATCTAGGTAGGTACAAAACCCTCTGCGCACGAGTTCGATTCGTACCTGACCGGTTTTTCTATGTTTGCATGGAAGCTACACCTTCTAGCTAAACAATCAGACCGAGGCTCATCAATTAAGACAATGTGACTCATCAAGTGTGCAAGTATCTCACCGTCATCTTCAGACTGAGCGAGTTCCTCCGCGAGCTTCTCCAGCTGGATACGCTCCTCGTCTACCTCCATGACGCACTCCAAGGCTGTCTTGTCGGAGGCAGGCATCTCGCGCGTCAAGTGGAAGATGTCAATGTGCGCCGGGATCGGCACTTCACGACGACCCAACGCTGCCAGCAGTGACGACTTGCCTGTAACACAATACATAACACATAACAAACATGTTACCTGACGGTAAGTTTTTAAGGGTTTTTTTTTCTGCGAGGCCATGGTCTCACTCCGATGGACTCGGCCCGGTCGGTGTCAAAGCATATCTCTACCACGGTAGAAAAGTCTCCAAGAAGACATGCAATTTCATGACTTTGTTTCGTTGAAATATGTCGAAATTATTTTGGTCGAAAACATCACAAATGGATAAAAGATAATCGCCAGCCATTAAGAATCACTTGGTTACGATAAATTTATTTGCAGCTGTTGCTTATTATAGATGAGACAAAATCACAGTGAAATGTGAATGAACGGTGATTTATCATTAGATTTTTTCGTACGTAGGCTAGGGTTACTACTTACTAACGCGTTGTTGCCAATAACATGTTTTCAGACGAAGCATAAAGACCCTATTTCGCTTATTTAACAGTAAATCTACTAATTATTTTATTATATATAGCTACAATACCTGCAAAGAGAAGGAAAACTTGAAACAAACCCTATACCAACCCGTCTGGTCAGCGTGGTATAGTAGGCCACAACCTCCTTTCTAAGGTGAGGCCTATGTCCAGCAGTGGACTGTTATAGGCTGTTGATGTGATATAGCTACAATTCCCTACATAATTCAAAAAATACTAGATTTACTGTCAAATAGCGTCTAACCTACCTACCTAGCAACCCTAACCTACGTACGCAATAATCGAATGATAAATCACAGTGAACTGTGATTTTGTCCATGTCTATTGCTTATAAATAGGCAATTGCATGCTTATGCACATAAGAATTTATTGCAACTTTTATTATTCGCATTTTAGCATAGGAGCTTCACTGGCTGCACGAGTAATGTAAAATACAAAGAGAAATCGAGACAATATCAGATTGGTGGTGGGTGGGTGGTATTTTTTTTTAATGGTATAAGTGGGAAAACGAGCAGACGGGTCACCTGTTGGTAAGCAACTACCGCCGCCTCTGCCATGGATATATGACGGGTTTGGAACAAATAACTTGAATTCTGACAGGGAATCGGATTAAATATAAATTTAATGTATGTATAATTAAACGGGCACAGAACAAAGAAAACAAAAATACAGCCTGAAGCAAACGATCCCGTATCATGAGACTGATGAAATCCTGAAAGACTTGGTACCTACACATAGTAGCGACTATTAATTTGTTTGAAAATATCGAGTAGAGTTAATTTTCCAGTTTGAATGTGTACAAATGTCTTTTGTCGGTGCAACATTTGTAAACACCTATTTAACAAAGGTATAACATACCTTTGAAAGATGGTGATAGTAGAAACGTAACACAATAAAGCGAAAAGCGAATTCACAAAAGATAATAAAGATATATTCACAAAAGATGACAACAAAATAATTATTTAGCGCTAGCAACGCAACAGCTGTATATTTTTTTAATTTATAAAAATATAATGGTGGATGTATATTCGTATATTTCTGTTGTTAACAGTTTGCAAATCTTTTTTTCTTAGTATTGTATTCATATTCCTTACTCGTGGAGTCCATATCATCATCTTTAGCTTGCAAATCTCACATCCATCTTATATATAAAATTCTTGTGTCACAATGTTAGTTACCATACTCCTCCGAAACGGCTGGACCGATTTATATGAAATTTTGTGTTCACATCGGCTAGGTCTCAGAATCGGCCAACATCTATTTTCCACCCCTAAATGATAAGGGTGACCCACCCCTAATGTTTTTTTTTCTAGAAATAATGTATATGGCAAAACAACGTTTGACGGGTCAGCTATATATAGTATTTAGCGTCAAACGTACGGCTATCGGTTGGAGGTTTGAAACTCATTCAGTCCCATCACTTAAAATTTCACTACTAATAGAGTAAGATAATGGGAGTTAAGATTATTATATTATATTGCCGAAACTAATCACAGAAAGGCCCCAAAAAATTGTATGAGATGGTCAGTATACTGAGGCATGGCTTAGTTATAAGCATCCGTAACCGGCGAGCGATAAAAAATATCTGAGGGCCAAGTGCGAGTTTATTATTGACGACTGGATGGCGTAGTGGTTTGTGTAACGGACTGCTATTCCAAAGGTCGCGGGTTCGATTCCCGCTCAAATCAAACCTTTTGTGTGCATGAACATTTGATGTTTGATTTGGTCTGGGTATTTCTATGTATAATATGTATGTATTTACAAAAAAAAAAGTTTATATGTATTTATATCAGTTGTCTAGTACCCATAGTACAAGCTCTGCTTAGTTTGGGACTAGATGGCGTTGTGTGTGTGTGGTAGAATATATATTTTACATCAACTCGCTCCTCACGGTGACCGCGTTTGGCTTTGCGATTGGCCCGCACAGAAATCTCCACCAATCGCAACGCTAAACGCGCTCGCCGTCGATGTGAAATAAACTTACACTAGGATGACAGATTACTGTGGAAGCGGGGCGAGCTGTATCTATGTCAGAATTATGGCAAAGCCGTTCAATCGTCTTTTCCTACTAAGAGAGGGAAAAGGCGTGAGTATAGGGCGTATATACACAGTATGGAGAATATCCTGGCTTGCGATTCGATAATTATAATATGATTGGTAAGCAATTTATGCTCGCAACATTAGATATGGTGGACTACCAACTCTTTTTCTAATAATGTCTATTCAACGGGATGAAATTTTTTTTTGTAAAAGGTTTTGTTTTGTAAAGGTTTGTTTGTTTTTTGTACTAATTGAAGTAAGGATTAGTAGCTAATATAAAGCCATCTTCATAAAGAGGTAATCATGCATATTATAATTGGTTATTATACAGGTACCTTGAAAACCTTTATTTCTACCGATGATGGTTTTTAAAAGATTATAATGGAAAAGTTTCTCATGGAGTTAGGGAGGTCATCGCTTACACCCTTTTTGTGATTACATAATTATTGATTAACCATAAAATACTCGTTTTCTTAATAAGAAAATCTAGTAAATTGCGGTAAACTGTACTCTCAATGGATAGTCATGAGATATGTGTTTGTTTAAACACTTTTTACTGAAGTTCTGCTTAAATACTAGCTCTTAAAGTATTTTTATTTTAATCAGGAACAAATTTTTCTCTGGATGTAAGTTACTCTATGTCTTTGTCTGAAGTAGTGGCAGGAGTGGTATTTTGATGCATAAAATAAGAACCATACCCTGATTAATATAGCAATTTCCGATGAACCGATTAACACAACTAATACACAAATGTATACCTATTAAACATACATAAACATATAAGTATATTAGGTACAAGGTTTTGCTAATGTGTGACGTCTAATTATGTCGTTGCATTTTAATAAATATGACAGTTTTTCAAAGAATATTTTCCAAAAAAAAAAGAAAAAAAGGCGTACAAATCGAATACAAAACGCTTGAATTTGTGGCAAAACTTAACACTGTTCTGTTTTACCATATAGTTTTAGAACTTGTGAAAGAAAAAAATTAAAGTCCAATTTAAAAAAAAAAAAATTTCAAAACCTACCTGGTACCTACTTCAAGATTTAATCTAAATAATTACAGTTTGATCGACTTAGTTGGCATTAGTCATAATATAAAACAAATACATAATGACAATGGCCTCAACCGTCGGCTACAGGTATTAATCAATTGATGACGTCACCGGCATTGCAAAACGAAACGTCATTCTTTTATGATAGAGATATATGCATAGAGTGAACAAGAGCCCCAATTTTGCAATATAGGCAAGGAGAGAGATGGATAAATAGATAGTTCCCTCTATCTCTTTCTAGTCGAATTTTCTAATCTCTCTACTGTTCTATGATCACAACCATGCCCACTTCACGATAGTCAATCGCAGCTTTGCTAAACAGAGACAAAGGGAACTACCGAGCATCCATATCGTTGCCTGTATCGCTTCCACTTACAGGCAGCTGTACCCCGTGTTCTCTCTATGCTTATATCTGTCTTTTATTGTAAATATTTCTTTTTCAGATCAATTAAAGTGACTCCGTTTATATGCCTGTAGGAACATATATTGGTAATTTGTGTAATTTCAAACCTAGAATGAATTTAAAAAGCTAGCCTAAAAGCGTAAAAAAAGTTATCTCTAAAAAGAATGAGCATTAAATATCACATTATCCAACATTCATGATGTAGGTAAGTACTTAAGCAGTCATGAGTTATGAGATAAAACAATTCCTACGCACAGCAACCGGTCAGTACTATTATAAACTAATGTTTATTTATAATACTTTTACATACCACATCCATTAAGCCCGACGAGACCATATCTTCGGCCGCAATTGAGTTCCAGCAGGGTATCCTGCAGGAGCTCACTTCCATAGAATGTGATCGAGAAATTAGCAATCTTGACGTCCCTTGACCGAGGATGGACCGCCAAAGAGCCGGTGCAAGATCTCGCCTCCGAGTTCATCTTGGCTTCGGCTTCCAATTTAAGGCATAATGCCTCTGTAATAAATACAATGTATTTTAATAATATTATATAGTTTTCTGAAATTCATTTGTCATCGTCAGCTTTTGGTGTATCCAAAATCATTTACCTTAATGTCAAAATGGTTTCCTATGAAGTTTTTTTCAGGTTTTAGTTCAAAACGTTACTTGACTTCGTAAAAGACAGTTACAAGGTAGACCAGCAGTCAATAAGTAAGGTAAAAAAAGGTTGGATTTATGATAACTACTTAACATCACGTCTCAACTGGCCATTTCTAGTACACGATATAAACCAGAACCACTTAAAAACACCGGATGCGAAAGTCACCAAGACATCGTCCGCAGACCGATCAACATTGTACAGGAACTAGAATTAATTTTAACTAACTAACTCTAGAAGAATTTTGTATCCCACCAGCTATGAAAGGGCGCACTGGTGACCTGCCTTATTAAAATGTTACCTCAATACCTTTTAATTAATCCTCCCCGATCAGAGCAACCTATTAAGGTGGGGAAAAGCTACAAAAAGGGCTTGTAAGATGTGCAGTGCGGAAATAAGTACAGCTAGTGCATTTACTGACAGTCTGTAAGCCGCGAATACAGAGTGTCACCACCCCTATTCATCCGTAAGAGCCGACTAAGGGAAAAAACTACGCAGAACAACAGTACTGCAGAGAAGGAAAACTTGACACAAACCCTATACCAACCCGTCTGGCCAGGGTGGTGTAGTAGGCCAAAACCTGCTTTCGAAGGAGAGGCTTATGTCCAGCAGTGGACTGTGAAAGGCTGTTGATGTGCTGATGTGTAAGGCGCTATTAGACCGGGGTCGTGTTTCGCGTCGCCTTGATACTATAAATCAAACGCGAAGCTAATCAATGGTGTGAGCTCCAAACCTTTTCTTTTTTAAATCTAAGGTTTGTACGCGACTTGTGGCAGAATATGCTGTGATTCCTGACTGTAAGGAGTAACACGAACAAAAGAAATGACATCGACTTTGTAAAAGAAGGCTCAACGAAAATGATTTTACAAAAACAATACTCAATCATAAATACTTGGCAGTAACTGGAAATTATTGGTGGAGACGTTTGAAAAACATTACAGAATACCGGCGGATATCTGTGTCTCGGCGTCCTGACCAGACATACTTCTAATATATAGAAATATGACTGGTCAGGACGCCGAGACACAGATATCCTCCGATATTCGAAATCAATAAAGCGTGTAGTACTAGTAGAAATCACCATGGTGAAATGGAAAATGAACATCCCTAAAGACCCACACTTTAAAAAGAAACAAGTATTTTGACATAACCAACGAAATAACTAGAAATCGCTATTTCGTTGCGTTGTAAGCCGTAGAAGTGGGTGCGACGGGTATGCCAGTTGTATCCTCCTATAACCTGCTTAAAATCTTGGATTGCCAAGGGCTACAGGAAGCTCTTTTTTGAATGAATATCCAAAGAGGCATTGTTAGGATCATATCAAATATGGTTAGGCAGAGGGGGTAACACATCAGACAGTGGAGGTGGGTCGTAAGTTTCATGTGTTGACCCCATCTATCACGCGATAGACCTGGCACCTGCATGGTAAATCCATGGCAACTTAAGAAATAGGTCTATAAATGGAGCATTATGTCAATTATAAAAAAATTGAGATTAGGTGTAAAACCAATTACATGAGTTATATGATTTATTTAATATTGACTATGTAATCCAAGTCCCATGGTTTACCCTTCATATATGTGAGAACATGCTTCACTTCATTACATTGCCTATGTGGCATCAGATTATATATATGGAGGATCATCACCCCTATTTATCCCATAGGTGTCGTAAGAGCAGACTAAGGGAGCAAACTATGCAGGTCAAAAGCACTGCAAAGAGTAGAAAACTTAAAAAATACCCTTTACTAACCCATCGGGCCAGTGTGGTATAGTAAGCCAAAACCTCCTCTCTAAGGAGAGGCCTATATCTAGCAGTGGACCATGAAAGGCTGTTGATGATGATCATTATATTACCATGACTGCATGGATGGCGTAGTGGTTTAAGGGGTCACCACGCCGCTTCCTACTACGCAGAGTGACGACACTTTGTGTGATCCACTAATTGTTCTTTGTCTGGGTCTGTCTGAGTCTGGGTGTTCTTTGTGTCCGTTTCATGTATGTTTGTAAAGTCCCCTGCGACACAGGATTTACTACTAATGCAGGTGTTGTCTTTTTTAAAAGAAAGAAGAAAGAATTATGATCACATAACTATTTTATTACCTATATGATTCATAGTAAACCAAAGTCAGGCTTGAACTGTTTTGAACAACAACTTATAAACAATTATAAAAGTGAAAGGCAGTTAAGTTGGACAAAACCATTTTTCTTTTATTACCTTTTAGATGCGGACAAGAGTCAGTGGTCCGTTACAGTCTGTCAACGGTTATTTAAAACTTTTTTTAGGTTGCGTTTTAAACTCATTTCGTTCACAATAGACTTGGAAATTATTGCTAGTTTTGAATCATTTTCATATGATGAAATTATTGGTTTTAATCACGGCGCTTTCACCTGTGATTGTGATTTGGTCAAGGACAAAGATAATTATGTACTATCAAAATCAATCAAAATTCTTTTTATCAAAGATTACAACCTTCTGCTTTTTTTTTATTTAGACCTTTCGGGAGTCCGTTGCTAGCTTAATGATAATAATAACTCGCATTGGATTTGTAAATTAGTCACAGGTCTGATGATATGATTTATAAATAATATGATTTATCACAGATAATATGATTTGATTCCACCCCTAGTCCACAATATTGCAAATCATCTTTATTTTCAATTTGTTTGAAGATCTCTTTTTCTGAATATGTTATTTTACACAAAGTTAAGCCACATTGATCTTTGTGTAGTCTGATTACAGTAGAATCATCATCAGACTATTACCGTCCACTTCTGAACCGAAGGCCTACCCCAAGGAGCGCCAATTCTTAGATAAAAATAAATAAACTAATTTTACCAAACACTATACTAAAAACGGTCATGAATTGAATAATATTGTGCAGAAACTTTTCAATTCACAAATCAATCAAATTTATAATGTTAATTATCCTTACCATACTGAGAAAACCCATTTGGGAGTTTTTTTTTGTCTAATATAATAAATGTTATTCCAGATAGTATATAGATTATATATGATACCATAGTGTAAATCCCTTAATTTTAGACCATTTGTGGTTTGGATCATTTTCACACATGTTGCAAATAAATTACAAATAAACAACATTACAACAAATTAACATTTGGTCCTTATTATATTTAAATGTATAGAATAATTTGTATAGCTAAGATAGGAAGTACCTATATCTAATAGACTTCTAAGAATATAATGATCTCATCATCAACCATTTTGTTTATTTTAACATAGTTCTGAACATGTCAAGAGAAACTTTAACCATTTACAATAACATGTTCATAGTTAACAGGTTATTTCTTCAACATTTCTATGTGTGAGTACAATAGAGGACATAGAAAACCATAACATAACTGTGTGAACTATTTCAAAGCAGTGTTTTCGCCAACATAGTAGCAAGTCAAATTCATAATCACAGGTGTATGTAAGTTTATCACGGGCAGCGAAACCATGTGTTTTCATTCGACAATGTTGCTGAAATCACACTGCCGACGATTCCTTTCGTGATATACTGATCTAAGTTCATGAAACGTTTGAATACTTGTATGAAATTAGCTTCGTTGGCACGCTAGCTTTATTCCGCTAATGATTAGAGATCGAATTTCACAACATTATTTACCTTCTGCGGTAATCTCGCGATCCTTCGCGTCATTGCCGTTAGCCGTCGTACCGTTCTCGTCGTTTGTAACTCTCGCAACGGACTTCTTATTTCTGCTGCTTGCCTGCTCCTTTTTCTTCTGTTGTGCTCGTTTCTTTGCGTCAGACGGCATTTTGGTTACCTGATCAACACCAAATTTAGATTACACGAACACAAAAAATACAGGCCTACATTTATTCTTTTTAATGGTTGAAGCACGGTTTATGTTTGAACGAAGCTACTAAAATAAAAATAGGGATCCGCACTTCACTTTGTTCACGTATTTTAATTTAAATAATAATCATTACCTAAATTAATTTTACAGGATGATAAGCAAGTCGTCCGCGTCTACACGTGCTGAATTGAAAAGAAAGACATTTGAAGATTTATAGTACAGACTACAAATTTTCACCAGAGACAATTATTTCATCTTTTTTATTAAGGGTTGGTTTCATGGTGAACACTCTAGTATTTATGCCACAATTCAAACATTTGATTAATTTTAGAAAATGGTCTAGTTCTTTTCACTGCGAATTCCATACGGAGGCATGGAATACGTACCAAAAATAAAATTTGCATTTATATGAAGAATAATAAAATGCATGTCAGCTTCTTATAGTTACTGTAGGCTCAATTTCGTTTATTTACATCATGCAACACAAAAATATGTTTTCCTATCTGTTTTTTCTGCATCACCCAATGGTTGATTGGTAGAGCATGCCTTTGGTATTAGATAGTTGGCGTCGTATAGGAGGCCGGTTACAGACGCAATCAACCAAAAACCTTTGTGATGTTATACATTGCAACAACTCCGAATATAAATGGGAGGAGGTCAAAATGATGTCAATAGTTGTCAGTTTGTATGATGATTACCATTTGGTATTTAAAAAAATAATTTGAAGATATTATATAAAAGAGATAGAGACTTTTGTAGACGAGCAAGACGGGTCACCTGATGGAAAGTCCGGAAATACCACAGACGATAATCCGATTATACATATGTATAGCAGCTATAATCGGGATTTGGTAATTATTGATAATATTTTTTTAAATGCTGCATTTAAGAGAAAAAACTAAAAAATATTTTTTTGTTAGTAGATTATGTTTATTGTAGGATGGCAATATTAAACAAACTATTTAATATAAAATATTAATTAGCAAGTAGTGATACGCAAAATGTATCACTGAGCTGAAAAGATTGATACATATCATTTCGCTCTAAAGATATATATCACTCATCTAGCTCACTAGCTCATTTAGCTCACTAACTCCTTTAGCTCACTAGCTCATTGATCCGATTCAATTGATTGGTCTCTCAATTAATTCATTTCTTCATCTAGATCGTTTAGCTCAGTATACTTGTATATCACTCACTTCAAGCCTCCTCTCGCCTTACAAATCTTTCTTTATTTTCTTATAAACCTAAATTCAGTTTTTGAAACTACATTTTTAACTATTTTTTTTAAATACAATTTTATTCATTTTGATAAGATTACATAATTATTAACACCCTTTTACATAATAATTAAAATAAGAAATTAGTTCTTGTACTTTTTTTAGGTTGTATAATAGAAATCATACATAATTTGATTTTCCTTGTTGTTGGCGGCTTAATTCTTAAGTAATATTAAACTTTGATATTATAGAAATAATGTACATTTTGCATAAAGAAACTTGCGTGAACTTAACCATCATCTATCTCACTCATTTATCTTTAGTCTCACTCACTCATGAAACAAAGATCGGCGTCGTTTGAGCTAGTGATCTAGTGAGCTAGTAGTGAGTTTACTGATATATTCGGAGCAAGTGTGATGTGAGTGATAGATTTTATCGTCGTGAATGATATATATCTTTTATATCACTCACTCAGGAGCTACACAACTCTATTAGCAAGATTAATTAACAGCAGGTGACGCTTTTTATCTGAACATGATGTAGTTTATCAATTTCTCTTTATATTTTTAGAAATCACATGTTGTCGCATATATCAAGTAAACACAAAATTATAATAAAAACTGAAAACAAGCGTAAACGCAAGACAGAGTGGACGAAAACTTGTCATTTTATTGTTTTGTTTTGGCATCGGAAGCAAAAGCTTTTTTCGTATTCGGTCTAAAAAATACGAAAGTAAAACGGATGTTTTCTCAAAATTGCAGTAATTAAAAAAAAAACATTTTATATATTATAATATTAGTTCTTAAGAAGTCCATAAATAAATATTTGGTTCATACACTACTAGAATTTTACAAGAATACTAACCATTATTGGACAACTCCTTTATAAATAGCGGCCTTGCCAATTTGCTACCTATTACCATCATAGACTAATAGTGTTTTATGGTTATAAACGTAGTATAGTAACACAGAAACTTGGTATGGTATATTTATCTATGTTTACGACTGAAAGGACTTGTATCTCTGGTCATGAATAAATTTAAAAAAAAAAGTATGGTATAGTGTATATTATATTATGGGTAGGGATGTGAGATTAATGGAAAAGAATTGATTAAATAAAAATCGATTTTTCTATATTAAAATTAATCGACTTGCCAAAAATCGATTTTAATAAAAATAAATAATCGATTTTTTTTGTAATTATTTAAAAGTATATGCTTCCATATTCCAATAATAAACCTAAGAGATTCATATTAACTATTTATCAGATTAAAAATAAAATAAAATTATATGAATAAAAAAATAACCTATTCGAAAAATTTCAAAAGTAGGGAATTAGGAAACTAAATAGCATTATTAATACTCATTTTAGTACTATGAAACGTTTTATTTATTATAATAAAAATGAAATGATGAGAATTTTTTATTTGACTAGTTTTAAAATAAAACACTTAAAATGAGAATTAAAAAACTAAACGACTACTCTTCATCAACAGTCTTTGATAGTCCACTGCTGGACGTAGGCCTCTCCTTAGAAAGGAGGTTTTGGCTTTGGTTACTCTATAGTCTCAAAAACTAAACTAAATTACAAATTTTTCGTTAATCTTTAAGGTTTAAATAATAATTATTGTCACAAATGTCCATGCAGTCCTATTTTACATTTGACTAGTATTAAAATAAAATACTTAAAAGGATCATTATCAATCCTGAACAACTACGTTATGGTCTCTAAAAACTAAATAAAAACCAATCTTTCGTTAATCTGCAAGTTTAAACAATAATAAAATTAAAAATAATTATTTCCACAAATGTGCAGTCCTATTTTACATTTGACTAGGATTAAACAATAATAAAATTTAAAATAATTATTACCATAAATTTTCAGGTAAGTAAGCAGTTTAAAAAACAATAATTTTTGATAGTCTCTTTCCTGAAATACGGTTTCGTGTTTTCTTGACCACATTTCCGCTTTGGAAAATAATCTTTCGGACGGAGCAGAGATTTTTGATCCAACGCATAGATGGCGCTGTTTTTAAAATTGAAACATACTGCAAGATTTTTTCATTCGTCGCATAGATGCGAGCTGTTTCTGAAAATCGATTTAAACACGTAATTTATATAATCGATTTACTAAAAATCGATTAACATTACTATAAAAATCGAGAATAAAAAATCGATTATAAGAAAATAATAATCGATTTCAAAAAAAATCGATTATTTTTTAACAACCCTAATTATGGGTTCCCCTCCTCCTATGAGCAACGATTGTCACGTCAAATCAATAGACCGCTAACTTCAAATTTTCTTTTCACAAGTAAAATTTGTTTATAATTCCAATCCAATAAATAAAAAACAGGTTGATAAGACGAAAAGGAAAAAAATATGTATATTTATAAATTTGAATTACTTTATTCAGATAAATATCAAAAAAAGCCAAAATTTTACAGAAATAGTTCCAAAAAAATTTTTTTTTTACGATCACATAAAAACAGGTAAAATACGATAATAAGGCTTTGAAGACGAAAAAAAAAAAATTAATTGAAATCGTACTTTAAATATTATTAACTTCAAAATCAATAATATAAAAAACATTAAAATACCCCCAATTTAACAATACATTTTGTTGTATTATTTTGAAAAAAATTTTTATCTTTAACTTGAAACTATTCCCCCCTCAATCAATGTAAAAAAAAAAAAACCAAAAAGGTGTAATTACGTTGACACCTCTTAAAAAAAACAATTTATCATTGATTTGGGGGGGTTCCGCACCAAGATCAAAATGTGACTATAGCATCTTTATTTTTACAGCCACAAAATTTTGATTATTTTTTTTGTACAATTTGGTTTTGTACAAAATATATAATTGAAGATTGGGCCCTAGGTTTACCATCATCCCCTGTTTCACCCACAAATGTGTTTAAGGGGTTTTTTATCATAAAGGACCTGAATTATCAAAGCGTAACACCTAAAAGGGCATGACAGGAAATACGTCACTACCAACTCGTATTAGGATTACAACCTTATTCTCTTTTAAAAACTTTGCCAAAATTAAGTGCCCGTAAAATTCCCTTTAGAATTATATATCAATCACACTTTAAATTTTAAGAAATTTAAAATTTTAAATTTTGTTTAATAAACTCTAAACAGTAATTGTTTTAGCTTTTTAAATTTTCCCGGGGCATCTGCATTCAACTATCGAGTCCAGTTTTGAAATGAAACAAAAATTTTTTTTTGTCAATTCCCCAAAATCGAATGCTATCCTCCTATCTATAACAATTGATTTTTACTCGGGAATAACTTATAATAGGCACTTGATTATTTTAAGCACAACTTTTTTAATAGTTTTGTCGGGAGGAAACTGTTCCCTAATTAATTGGTTTTTGCCCTAAAACTGAGTTTAATTTTCCTGCTCACGAAATGTAATATAATTTTGGTTTACATTTTAAAACAAACCAAGCCACATATAAACCTCTAAAAACGTTGTCATAACTAATCCAACTAATGTATAATTGTACAAAATGTTTTATTTTCACCTAACTATTTTGGACTGTGTTGGCTGAAAAAAGTTTTAAAAACCCCCAAAATGACCCAAATTGGGGTAAAACCCTCAAATCTGTATTTTAAAAATACTAGAAAAAATCCCTTTTTATTATGATTGCATTCTTTCATTATCACAAATACGTAAATAGGTTTTTTTCTCAATTACCAATTGGCCCAGCTTGTAAATTTACCGTTCCCGCACAAAACGGGCCGTTTGATTATAGTGAAAAAAGATGCAAGGGGATTGTTTAAAACTAAAAGGCTAATCTAACCATATAAGGGAGTTTTGGGGGAGACCTTAAAAAGATGAACAATATTTTTAATTTTTTGAAAATTTTTACCTAAATTTTTATATAAGCAGAAATTTTAAATACAAAATTTTTTTTACTACCTTAGAGGATACACATTTAAAAGGGAATAAAATATTTTGAAAGCCCCTTTAAAGCTTTTCTATTTAATAATATTTAAAGGTATAGTAAAAATATTAAATTCTATATATTATTTTTATGGGTAGGATTTTTTGTTTTGGAGTAGGGAAAAAACCAAATTTAAAGGATTGGGAAAGTTTGGAAACAAATTTTGGGGGTTTTTTTATATGTAAAATGTTCGTTTTTAGTTTTAAAAATTTTTTTAAATATATGTTTATAACCCAAACTAAAGCAAGTTAATAAATGAATGGGGTCAAAATTATGTAAATGGCTAAAACCAAATTTGGGAATATCACCCCAAAAAGCCCAAAATCATTCAATTTTAAACCCAAAAATCGATCCCAAAACTGTACATTATTAAATTGGGGTCTTATTGGCATTAAAACTTCAAAAATATTAACTTAATATTTTTTAAAAAAAAAATTTTTATAAAACCCATGATACAAGAAAAACCAAAAAACCTTTTAAATAAAAACCCCTTACTGAACTGGGACGCAAAACTGTTTATGAAAATACTTTGATGGTTTCTCATAGATCCTTTTTTTTTTAAAATTTTTGAAAATTTAAAATTTTAAAGAAAAAATTTTATTGATGGAGGGGGGCTACTTAAAAAAAAAAATATTAAGGTTTTTGGGGTATTGGGTTATGCATATCTTTAAATGCTAGTTTGGTCATCGAAAAAAATATAGAGAGCGACAATGACTTAAAATAACAATTAGTATGGTCAACCAGCACTAGCTGCATTATATGATATCCCGTACTGTCTTTTATTACTTTCATATTTTTTCAGTTGTACACAATTCCTACATTCGGCCTATATCTTATGCGCCAGGTAGAGATTTTAGTTCTAAGGTTAACCTTATATAATTCATTCCAATACTTCGCTTACACTAATCACAGCTCGAATTCTTACCTCCAGTATTTTTGCGGCTCACATACAAGCAGAAAACGTTTCCAATTTCCCTACTAAACAAAATCTAATGTATGTTATAAAAAAACAAATAAGGGGCCCAGATCATAAATATAATAAAGATGGACGGTCTAAGGTAAGAGAGCGGGTAAGGTTTAGTAAAAATAAAAATAAAAAAAAACATAATTTATTGCAATCACAGATTGTAGACCAACGTCGCGTTGGTGTGTATCTTTACTCTATAACCACCTCAATAATTTCCAACAAATGCAACCAATGATTCGCTATACACAATTACAAGCTTAACAGATTATAGTGTCCCTTCGAACGGGGGAACGTAAAATATTGGAATACGTCACGTACAGATAATAAATAGACTTAACATGCACAAGACCTATGTTTGTATGTACAAACGAAATGCAGTTTGCTAATATGCTTAAATTATAGTTTACTTGCCGCCACAAGAAGCTAAAAATAACGACATACAATTCGTCTCGTGTATCACTTGGGAGGTTAACCATCGTTTCCTGCCACATAGGTTTAGTTACAGCGGCAAACGGTAACCAATTTAATCCAAACGCTTTTCTATCTTATCGTGACGGTAAGTTTAGAATGTGATGTGAGATTGAGCTCGAGCGGGGTCGGCGTGTTGTTGGGGGCGGCGGCCGAGGGCTGCGATTCGTGGAGGCCGCACGCGCTCGTCGCGATCACGTCATGGTTGAACGCCGAGCGACCGGCTCGCATACTCGTACACCACGTACGAGATGGACACCGCAGGGATCACCTTGATGAGAGTTGGGCGTGATGCCGCGTACAGTCCGCGGAAGCCCTCCCGCTGGATTATGTCGCGGACGGTGCTCCTCAATGTGCCCTCGACGCCTTTCGCAGTAGTCTCTGTAACCAAACAAATTGCATTGTTATTATACATGACTAAAACATGCTCATATGGGTTGCGCTTATAGTTTCAAAATTTCAAATATTTTGGCATTTAAATACATCTGTCATGCTTCAATCCAAAATTTTGTCAAAAATATTTGTCTTACTAGGTAATAAGAGACAAGCCTATTTCAGCTAACTGAGTACGGGTTTAAGCGGGAAAATGTGGAGTATATTACAAGAAAAAAATGGAGGGCAAGTGATAAACTGGATACGGTATCAAAACGTAGCATGTGATATAGTCTACATAATAATGTAGTATTTTGTCTTAATCTATAATAGACGAGGAAATACCTAGTTGTTATCAGTAGGAAGATATTATGATAGAGTCTAAGTACCTACTTCTTACTAAATTGAAGTTTATTACACATAAGTACAAACATGTTCATAGAAATTTAGTACTTAAAACACATTAATGTAGTATAATAGTTATATATTTACCTTGAGCTTGCAATCGAGTACGAATCAGCGCCAGAGGGTACGAGCACACCTGCCCAAGCGTGCACGAGGTACTCCCCAACGCCAACAGCAGCAACATGCCAGGCTGTTCGTTGTGCGCCTGGTACGTACTGATGTACTTCTTCTTTAGAGTCTCGTACACCGCTAGGTCGATTCCAGCGTACGGCACGATTCCCCAAAATATTTGGAATGTAACCCTTATAGAAACATTTAATCCTTCCCTGGCATATATTTTTTTAGCCGCATCTGCAATACCACTGTATTGACCTGTTTTCCTAAGCGCTAACCGCGTCTTGAGCACCTCCAAGGGGTAGATGACAGTTTGACTGATCGCCCCAGCCGTAGCTCCTGCCACGAAACGCTCGTGAATTTCTAGCGGTCCATTTTTGTCTTTTCACCTTTTATTAGTCGTTTTACTTGTTCGTAGGCGGCGAACTTGAGGGCGGATTCTGGAGCTATTTTTATAACATTTATACCGTTTTCCTCTCCACATTCCAGTAATTCCACCCTCACCAATCATTTTATTCAAACATTTCCTCATGTTCTCTCTATTTTGGTTTACCTGGAAATGAAACAAAAAAATTCTATGATATTTTAACACTGATTTGTCTTCATCGTGGCATAAGAAACACAAAAAATACATAATCTGCTAGGATTCATTTTATTTTTACCTTTATCGAGAAGTTTACAGCAAATCTTTAAATGGGACGAAATCTATTTTAAGTTTATATTTTGTAAAAAAAGTAGGTGTGATAGTTATATTATCTATATAGAAATTAAATTAATTAATTAAAATTGATATTATACTAGTCATGTGTTATTATCGTATATAAAATGGATAATTTATTTTGAAAAGACAATATTTACCTGTAAAAATACTTTTAATCTATCTAAGGGTGCTGTGCAAGTCCGACTAACTGCGCCTGCAATGCCTCCGGCTAACAAATGTCTCCACCACTTTCCTGTTTGAAGTTCACTCTGGGTGAAGTCATCGGGCACATTCATATCCTCACCGATGTCCAGGTACTGGAAAAGAAAAACACTCCGTCAAACATCTAAGTTACATATTTAACGAATAGGTGTGAAAATAAGGTGTTTTATATGGAGTCGGGCGAACTGATGCTTGTTAAACTACTTGGAGGATCAAAACCACCAAATGCCAAAATCTAATGAACGTTACATTTCAAAATAGACTAACTACAATACACCGAGTACTTAAAGGTATATTTACGTAATAATTTCTGTTATCGACACGATCTACAGTACCTTAAATAGTATTAAAAAAACTGTGTTTTAATGAACTATGCTAAAGTACTAGATAATAGATCAGTCACGTTATTACACTGTTATCTGTTTCATCCTCCGTGGCCAGACATTTTGTATCCTTAAATTTCTTTTTCTTCCATACTTTCAAAAAATTTATAGATTCCGTCTGCCGAGAAAATATATTAATTGCTTAATAAAAATGCTGTTTTACAAATGAAAAATTATGTCTGTCAGACGTAAGTAAAATTAAGTTTCACTATTTTAATTCAGCGATCCAACAGATTGGTATATTTAGATTTGATTACATGGATGATCCATTTCGAGAAAAAAATACCTTTATAAGTAATTAAAGTCAACATTCCATAAAAGTTCAATTTCAACCTTTATTCAACACGAGGCATTGAAAATATATGGAATGATATTGGATAGTTGTACCATGTAAATGTTTACTGCATAGTGTTTATTTACTCTTATTTCATTAGATTATCGTTATAATTATTCTGAGCCCGTTTTTCCAGTGCAGCCTCCTTAAAGCGATTTCAAGTCATCATCAGTTTACCAACAAAAAACGTCAGAATTTATTGGACTCCGGATTCTTAAGAATTGCCATTGTTCAGAACTTTAGCTTGCTTAGCAACTGAATGCTTATTATTTATACAAAAGTGTGCTAAACATTCCTACGTTCACTACGACGTAATCACCACCTTGTCATTGAGTAAGCATACCGTTGTGTGGTTGTCCCAGTCGATAATGAGAGTCATGAAGATTATATATAAGTTCCAGTACATTTTCTTGGTAGTGAACCATCGGTGGCGGACGAAAATTTTTAACCAATGTATACTCTGAATCATAATTTGATAATTGATAGGTTTTCGGTAATTAATAACTCCATTGGAAAGGTTGTAGCAACTTTTTTTAGGCTAACTTTTTGTCTTGCTACAATGAGCAAAATAAATGTTTTACGGTCAAATTTAGAAGTTTGACAAAGTCTTGACAGACACGTTAGGTGTTAATTTTTTTTATATTGCTTAACGGCGGTGTGATCGCTGATGAGGTCTATGGTTTGGATTATTATTGCTAATGGCAATATTTTAGATAAATCACATTGGTAGTGTAAAAGTTCTGTAACTATTAAATTTGTTGAATCAGAACTTGTTCACATAACAACAATTCTTCTAGACTTACATGCTCATAAGTTTACATGTCACCAAGTCAGTCGATCAACGTTGATAAAACAATCATCCTCATAATACACGCAAAATACTGTCTAGACGATATCTTCATATCACTCTACTATTTGTTCAGTTTAAGGCAAGTAGATTGTAGCTTCACAGTTTATACACGTTAATCAGTAATAAAACGGATTTATGCAATGTGTTGAGTATCAAGATTAAGGGACTATTTAAAAATGTTATTTGCAGAAAAGGCAATAAAAATAAACCATGCAGAAGGGTAGGTGCAACTGATACACCAAATAATGAAATAAATATGTGTTATAATCAGCCTTTGTACATACACTTTTTGCATTATAAACTTCATGGTCGACTGCAAATATATTCTGTGGGATATTAGGAATAGATTGTAAATGACAATGACAACTATGATTTTTTAGCATGTGGTTGTCCTTGAGATGAGTCAACTAGTTCAATGTCTTAGACTTTCACGACTGATTCGTCTATCTTGACGTGGGTAGATTCACCTTGAAATTAAAGTATGTCACGAGCGTGTATACGGATCCGGCCACACACTGACAAAACGCAGAGTTGCTCAAGCGCCACGGTGACATCACAAAGTGCGAGAATTTCAAGTTAGAAAGTTGAATTAAATTTTTTGAAACAAAATCTTTCTATAATATTTTTTATATTTAAGTGACCCAATGCTGTCTGCTCTTTAGTTTTAAGAGGTAGCTTAACACCAATTAGGTTTTTTTTAAAGAAATTCGATATCGTGTCATTCTAACACCATGTATCTTTAGTAACTGTATGTACCGTAATTAATTATATGTTCAGGAGCTCAATGATAAGTTATATATATTTAAAGATCTAATGCGTTTATCAAAGGCAGGCTATCACATTCATGATACATTTTAAACTAAGGGTTTAGGTAGTTTTACGAAACACATGTTCGACATGATAATGCTGGCCTTAATATTACACCCATAAGTCGATTGTGATACATTTTGAAGAGCAAATAAAGTAGTTATACCTCTATTGACCTATTTAATAATCTGTATATTGATTATTTCTTGGTTTGGTATTCTGTGGGAATCTTCATATCATCAACCAATTAGAAAATGGGTCTAGTAGAGGCGATCTGTGTCAAGGATGATAGAGAGTGGGCCATATTCGAAATCTTTAAACAGTATTGATTTTCGAGGTTAATGATAAAATTATATTCAGATTCTTAACGGCTACTATAAATTCAATTAAAGAAACAAGCTAATGCTTAGATGTTGAATGTAGATGGTAGGGCTACAGATTGGTTAAATTTCGGTACAAAATTGGGTGGAAATCAAAACCCATGAACTCTAACATAGCAGCCATGATCGTTAACCACTAGATCAACAGGACCGTCTATAGACTTGTTTGTATTTGTATTTAAACTAATATTTTTAAAACTTTTAAAATATTGAGTTCAAAGTCGTATGTCCACCGGAGCAAAACAATTACTGACCTTCACTGGTCAAATTAAATGATAAGCTCTCACGGGAGTATTGACTCAGATAATATATATTAATGATAAGGTAGATGTACACTACACATAAGGATGATAGGCTCCTCCAGCTTGGCCTTGTTAAAAAATCTCAAATTTAGACTGAATTTCAAACCAACAATGAACCTTCTTGCTAGTTGACATTACAGGGCCTTAATTCTGCTATTTCAATACTGTATCAATAGACTGTCGATGGAATGTCGTCGGAATAGTTTTGCACTTTTCCTATTCTACTAACTTTGTAAGACCAATGGCCTTTCAATGACTTGTCACTGATACAAATGTCGTCGATGTCTTTGCAACAGTTTGGTAACAGTACATTTAAAAAAATGATATATTTAATTTGCCAGGTATAGCAATGTTGTTGATATCACCATTGATGACCTGTATTAATATATCGACAGTGTGTTGACACTGTGAAATCATGTTAGTAGAATACTGATGTTTTGACCGATGTCAATGGCGTCTCAGTGCATCTCAATAGTGTGTCAATGGAATGATAGTGGCTTTGCGTTAACATAAAATAGTAGAATTGAGACCCAGGCTGTACACGACAAATGTCAATACAAAGGAACGACTAAAAATAATTCGTTCTTATTTCAAAATTTATTGAATTGATGTGGAGGCAAATTGGCCTTGACATTCAGCGAAGACGTCACTACAATACAATAGCGAACCACCAGGGCCTCAATTCTGCTGTTTTATGTAAACGACCAAGCCACTGTCATTCCATTGACACGTTATTGAGATGTCATTAAGATGACTTTGTTATCTAAATATCGGTTTTCTACAAAACATAAATTCACAGTGTCAATAGACTGTGGACGTAGGTACAGTGGGTTCATCAATGGTGATATTACAGCATAGTCATATCTGGTAAATTAACAAATATAATTTCCTTACAAGTTTTTAATGTACCATTTAACAAACTATTACAAATACATCGACGACATTCGTATCGATAGCAGTTCAGTGACGAGTCATCGAGTCATGCAAAAACTATTCCGGCGACGACGATCGACAGGCTATTGATACAATAAAAAAACAATTCTGTATTTTATAGTAGAATTAAATTTTTACATGCAAATCTAAAGGTCGTTGTTTTCGTTGTGTTCTGCCGTCGTGATGCCAATCACTTTGCGGTGCAAAATACTTAATTTAACATTAAAAATATTCATCAATCATCAACAGCTTTCAATAGTCCACTGCTAGACATAGGCCTCTTCTTAAAAAGGAGGTTTTGGCCTACTATACCACGCTGGCCAGACGAGTTTGGTATAGGGTTTGTGTCAAGTGTTCCTTCTTTTTGAGGTGCTGGTGTCTTGCTGGTGCTGGTGAGTTGTTTTGCGCTCTTAGTCCGGCTCTTACGACACCCACGGGATGAATTGGGGTAGTGACATTCCGTATTCTTAATCTGTCACCACACGGACAATATTACTTTCATCTTAGTCATCACAGGCAATTTCGGTAACGTTTAAAAAGTTCCTAGTATTTACTTAGTGGTCTATCCTCTCCAAGACTTCTTTCTTAGTGAGTTTGGAGGCTGAAAAAACCAGAACAGCCTTCTTAAGTCCTCCTCTGACTCATTTCTTATTCTAATCGCCATTGTTTGATGATAAAACTAATTAGTACCTATTTCTGAGAATGAGAGATGGGTGTTACGTATTTTATTTGTTTTACGTTGACATAAGAGCTACGTTGATTTGTTAATTGATAGCGTGTCACACGCCTGTTCACGGTAGACAGGCATGCTCTGTCTAAATAGATTAACACGTGTTATGGATATAAATTCGACTTGATAATCAATATATTATATCAATTTAATTTAAAAATTATTTGCTTCGATGCGCATGGCTTCTGCTATTGTTATATAAGATAATAGCTACTTACTTTTGTGAATTCAAATTTGGAATGCAACTCTTTAAAACGCAAAAAAAATGTAAGCGTTTCTTTATTCCACAGAATGAGTATCGTATCATTTACTGTGATGTCTATAGATTTGTCACATTGATAAATCGAGATTGTTCGTGTGCTGTAAGCATTCGGTTACATTTATGTTTACAAGTGTCCCACACTCAACATGACAGCGTACTGTTGCGTAGTGAAATGACCAGCGGTGTGTTTTTACTTTACTCTAATTGTACATGTTTTGATATTTACTTAGTTTTTTACTAAAATAGTATAGTCACATATGGTTAGTTAGGTAGCTTTTTTTTATGATAGAGGGGGCAGACGGGTCACCTAATGGAAAGTGACCATCGCCGCCCATGAACGTCTGCAACTCAGGAGTCACAAACGCGTTGCCGGCCTTTTAGGAAGGAGTTTCGGTACAAAGCATTATATGTGATAACTTTTACGGTAATATTTTTATGTTAGAAACCCAACAGACCACCTGACATAATTTAGTAATTTAGTTATTTCTCAACTTCTATTAAATAGTTATTTATTCTATGAATGAAAACATGTAACTAACTGGAATACAAATAATTACCAGAAATCGTGCAAAATACGAACAACTTGTTGACAGAAAAACGTCAAGTGTAAATTGACGTCACGTTCCACAAATAGCATTGCATACAATTAAAAATAAGCTTCTTTTTGTAGATTAAAATTCACTATATAATTTTAATAAATTTAAAAAATAATTGTATAAATATGTATTTTTAGCAATAAAGATACCAAATAAAAATATTTGTCTATTTCGGAGTCACGTGCATATTCCCTGTTGACCGCATCGGCTTTATTTCATCACTTTGTTTACAATGAAACTTATAATATTAAATGTAAATTTATCAAGTGATTGTTTTATGATTAATTATGATAATTAGAAAAGACCTATCCATCAGGTAACCCATCTCCCCGCTGCCCCTCTTCCATAAAAAGTAATTACCTTTTTACTCAAATGTAAGTCCTTTTTATTGAGTTCAGTCGAATATTGACTTTGAAACAGATTAACTTTTGCTCGAACATAAAGTGTTAGCTGTGAAGTTTTAAGACACATTTCTGGGTTCTTCAGAGATTGTCAGTTGACGCTTTCCGATCTGGGTATAGTCAGTGCCGTTTTCGGAATATCTTT